TGTCTCCTATTTCCCCCATTATCCCCTGTGTATTTATACCTGCGTCTTCTGTTTGTCTGTTGCCAGTTCGTCTCGTCTCGTCAACTTTCTGCCTGCCCTCGACCTGCCCTTTTGCCTGCCCCTTTGTTATAGTAAATAAATATTCTGAAAACCAAACCATCCGCCTCCTGTGTCTGCATCTGGGTTATATCCTGAGTCGTGATGAGCAAATATCTTTGTTTCTTGGGACCTAGAACTAGCATCTCTGTTTTGTCCAAGTTTAAAAGTAAAACATTTGCCGCCATCCACTTCCTTATGTCTGAAACACAGGCTTCCAGGGTAGGCAATTTTGGGGCTTCGCCATGTCTCATCGAAATGTCCAGCTGTGTGTCGTCCGCATAGCAGTGAAAGTTGACATTGTGTTTCCGAATGACATCATCAAGAGGTAGAATATATAGTGAAAACAATAGTTGCCCTAAAACGGAACCTTGAGGAACACCAAAACGTATAATTCATTTGTCAGAGGACAAACCATCCACAGAGACAAACTGATATCTTTCCGACAGATAAGATCTAAACCAGGCAAGAACTTGTCCGTGTAGACCAATTAGGTTTTCCAATCTCTCCAAAATAATTTGGTGCACGAGGACAGATGCAGAGCCTTTGTCTGACGCCATTAAAAGGTCATTTACCACCTTCACGGGTGCAGTCTCAGCACTATGATGGGGTCGAAAAACGGCAGGTAGCTTAGTGGTTAAGAGCGTTGTGCCAGTAACCGAAAGGTCGCTGGTTCTAATCCCCGAGCCGACTAGGTGAAAAATGTGTCGATGTGCCCTTGAGCAAGGCACTTAACCCTAATTGCTCCTGTAAGTCGCTCTGGATAAGAGCGTCTGCTAAATGACTAAAAATGTAAATGTAAATGTAAAAATGTAAAACCAGACTGAAGCGTTTCATATACATTATTTCCCTGTACAGACACTGTCAGTATGTTAATTTCAATTCCCTTATGACTAATAAAGAGTTTGTTTCATTTTTTTCACTGTCTGTCTGTCCGTCCATCCATCTGTCTGTCTGTCAGTCTCTCTGTCTATCTCTGTCTGTCTCTCTGATCTAGAGATCCCTCTTTGTGTCTCTATATTGCTCTCTGAGCTCTGCTGCTAGTGGCTGTTTGTGTGGAAAACATACAGGTTTGTGCTTGTGGTTGCGTGCGTGTGTTTTAGCAATTGATTTCCCACCATCTTAGTACCAAATGACACTCTCACAGCCTGTCTATTCGGTCAAAACAAAAGTAATGAGGGGAAAGCAATCTGGATAAAGCTTTACCCATCACTGTCTGCTTAGTCTATGCGCGCCTGTGCACGTGCATGTGTGTAGCCAGCTGAGACATTCAGCCAAGAGTTTGTATTCTCAGAGGATTTGTTCCGTCCAGTTACTGGCACTCTCTTATTAATTCAAAAGGCTGTTGCAGTGCTGAGTAAGAGTCTTGAACACAAGCTGCATTGAACTGAAGTAAATGATTCATGCCCTTGTAGAAATACATTCTTACTTGAATCAATCCCAAAAATCCCAAAAGCTGATTTTAATTCCCTTACCATAGATAGTGTGTGTGTGTGTGTGTGTACGTGTGTGTTTGTGTTCATGATTGATAGCACTCCCAGTGTCTTTTCCACTGGAACCACAAACACTTACTGAGTGATTTACTGCCATTACAATCAGGTGAAGAGGACAGAGAGAGAGAGAGTGAGAGAGAGAGAGAAGGAGGTAGAGAGAGGGAGAGAGAAGGGGGAGAGAGTGGAAGAGAGGTGTCCTATACTAATGAAGTATATAAGAGTGGACAGGCTCCCATGCCAGCAGCAGTTCAGAAGAGGCAGTCAGTGTAATCTTGAACAGTACAATGGTGTTGGTGTGTATGTTTATTACAGTGTAATAAAGTCATAGAGTGAGAGAGAGTGTACCAACCAAAAATTCACAAAATGGGACAAACACCAAATTGAGACTGCATGCAGAATTCTGCAAAAATATCCTCTGTGTACAACGTAAAACACCAAATAATGCATGCAAAGCTGAATTAGTCCGATATCAAAATCCAGAAAAGAGCTGTTAAATTCTACATACACCTAAAAGGAAGCGATTCCCAAACCTTCCATAACAAAGCAACCACCTACAGAGAGATTAACCTCGGGAAGAGTCCCCTAAGCAAGCTGGTCCTACGGCTCTGTTCACAAACACAAACAGACCCCACAGAGTCCCAGGACAGCAACACAATTAGACCCAACCAAATCACGAGAAAACTAAAAGATCATTACTTGACATATTGGAAAGAATTAACAAAAAAACTGAGCAAACTAAAATGCTATTTGGCCCTAAACAGAGAGTACACAGTGGCAGAATACCTGACCACTGTGACTGACCCAACATTAAGGAAAGCTTTGACTATGTATATACTCAGGGAGCATAGCCTTGCTATTGAGAAAGGCCGCCATAGGCAGACCTGGCTCTCAAGAGAAGACAGGCTATGTGCACACCGCCCACAAAATAAGGTGGAAACTGAGCTGCACTTCCTAATCTCCTGCCAAATGTATGACCATATTAGAGATACATATTTCCCTCAGATTACACAGACCCACAAAGAATTCGAAAACAAATCCCATTTTGATAAACTCATATCTATTGGGTGAAATACCACAGTGTGCCATCGCAGCTGCAAGATGTGTGACCTGTTGCCACATGCATGCGCGATGAGCGACTGCCGTGCCTGCGCCAGCAGTGTCCAATCTTTAAAAAGAGTCGCAGCCAGCTAGTTCCGAGAGAGAGAGAGTGAGAGAGTCTATTTCTCTGAATGCCTAAACCCACAAATGAAACAGAACTTCTAATTTCATATTTCTCAAAACAGGGCTATACACATCTGCTCTACAAGGAAGCAATATTTACAGAGGCTTCATCACTTCGTGGGATTTTTATTGAACAAGTAGGCCAGTTTTGGATAATGATGATTTCCGTAAAGTTTTTTTAATTATTTGAGATGACAGGGATTCGGAGGCGTTGATCAATCAATCAATCGGTCGATCAATTAACAGCAAGCCATCCTGTGAGGAAACTGAGCGGAGGAGATGTACATATGTGAGTTTAGAGTGGGTGTGGGTGTGTGTGCCATCTCTATACATGTCTGTCTGCCTCTTTCTTGGTGTGGTTGTTTTGCTTGTCGGTCTCTGTTTGCGTGTGTGTTGTCTTTGTGCGCGCGCGTGCATGCGTGTGTGTATCTATTTCATTTTCATCAGCAATGGATGTTCAGTTGACAGACTTTAGTCAGAGGCGCATGATGCCCACATCAGCTCGTGGTACTAAACCGGGGATTCAGTGCGCGAGCGGCCCAGTGATGCTGAAGTGACAGCTCCCTCAGCGCGCTCTCTTGCCACAGTCTGTAAACCACCAGAAGCAGCTGTGCCGCTGATGGTCGTCGGGTTTCAGAGTGTGTCTGTCTTTCTATTCTTTATTCCTCAAACTCTCTCTCTCTCTCTCTCTCTCTCTCTCTCTCTCTCTCTCTCTCTCTCTCTCTCTCCTGATTTACTCTCTATTCAACCACCATCCAGTCTGGGTAGCTCTCTTTCTGATAGAGGAAGGCTTTGCATTGGCACAGAAAACCAAAGGTGGGTGATTTCTCATTAGTATGTCAAAAATGTGTTCTGTTTAGGGTGAATGTTTGTTTTCATACACTGAACAAAAATATAAACGCAACATGTAAAGAGTTGGTCCCATGTTTCATGATCTGAAATAAAAGATCCCAGAAATTTTCCATATGCACAAAAAGCTTATTTCTCTCAATTTCTTTGCACCTATTTGTTTACATCCCTGTTAGTGAGCATTTCTCCTTTGCCAACATAATCCATCCACTTGACAGGTGTGGCATATCAAGAAGCTGATTAAACAGCATGATCATTACACAGGTGCACCTTGTGCTGGGGACAATAAAAGGTCACCCTAAAATGTGCAGTTTTGTCACACAACATGATGCCACAGATGTCTCAAGTTTTGAGGGAGCATGCAATTGGCATGCTGACTGCAGGAATGTCCACCAGAGCTGTTGCAAGATAATTGAATGTTAATTTCTCTACCATAAGCCGCCTCCAACGTCCTTTTAGAGAATTTGGCAGTACGTCCAACCGGCCTCACAACCGCAGACCACGTGTATGGCGTCGTGTGGACGAGCGGTTTGCTGATGTCAACGTTGTGTCAACGAACACAATTGCATTTTATTGATGGCTATTTGAATGCACAGAAATACCGTGACGAGATCCTGAGGCCCATTGTGAGGCCTATTTTTTTTTTTTAAGGTATCTGTGACCAACAGATGCATATCTGTATTCCCAGTCATGTGAAATTCATAGATTAGGGCCTAACTGTAACTCAGTAAATTTTTCGAAATTGTTGCATGTTGCATTTGTATTTTTGTTCAGTATGTTTTATGTCTGAAATATCAAAGAAACACAGTTGTGATTGGTTGAGTATGTGGTGTCTTTCAAGGAATACATACATTAATTAATGTGTGTTCATTTCAAGTATGGAAATCAAACAAAGACAGTGCTGTTGGAGTCATCCCCCATTATATATAAGTACCCTCATAATGAAGTTATTTCTACACCTGAATAATATCTGTGACATCACTGTACTAATAAATGTTTATTTCCTGGTGTGTGGTGTGTGATTGTTTTTGCCATGTCATCCGTAGACTCTCAGAATGTTGGTAAGATTTCCCAGAATGCCCGACAGTGTGGTACCTGGATCAGAAACATCAACGGGGGGCAGTTCAGCTCTCCAAACTACCCTAAAACCTACCCTCCCAACAAGGAGTGCCTCTACATACTGGAAGGTAACACACACACACGCACAAACACACGCACAAACACACACACACACACACACACAGTGATTAAAACTCTTACATATCTTGTCACAGAGTGTCATATTTGCGCCCTTTCTACCTTGGCCAAATAGTGACACTTACTCTCCTTCCCTTCCCAGCCCTGCCCCGTCAGAGGATCGAGCTTCTGTTTGATGACATCTTCTACATTGAGCCATCCTTTGAGTGTCGTTTCGACCACATCGAGGTTAGAGATGGTCCATTCAGTTTCTCTCCTCTGATCAACCGCTTCTGTGGCTCCTCCAGCCCAGGCCTGGTGCTCTCCAGCGGACGCTTCATCTGGATCCGCTTCTCCAGTGATGAGGAGCTAGAGGGACTGGGCTTCAGGGTCCAGTACACCTTTACCACAGGTAATTTACCTAAGCCAAAGCTAATGAACCACAACACACCTTTACTGCAGGTAATACACTTCTATACTTACCTTTACCGCAGGTAATTTACCTGAACCACAGCTATACTGCAGGTAGTGGCTAACTCAATCCAACATAACACATCTGGGCGTCAGTGTCCAGTACACCTTTACTGCAAGTAATTTCCCTCAACCACAGTTAGCACTTTACTGTAGATAACACACCTTAGGAGCAAACATTGACTTTATTTATTTTTTAGATCCAGAGTTTCACCTTCACGTGGGAGGAATACTAAATCCTATTCCAGGTAATTTATCAGCTGCAACACTTTAACACCTTCAACTAGATAAAAATAATATAACACTTTATTTAACTGGATGTAAAATTAGCTTTACTGCAAGATCAAATGTGTTTCTTCATCCCACCCTATCACCTCTCTTCCCCCCCTTCTCCCCCCCCCCCCCCCCCCCACCTATCTGTCAGACTGTCAGTTTGAGCTGGGTGGAGCTGATGGTATGATCCGGTCCGGTCAGGTGGAGGAGGAGGACAAAGTCAAACCTGACCAGGCGGTCGACTGCATCTGGACCATACGAGCTCCGCCCAACTTTAAGGTCTATTACACCTCTATGACATGTCTCAACTATCTGTATCTAAATATCTATATTTAAATATCTATATCTACCTTCTTTAACATCTCCCCTCTCTACATTTGATCCCTCCCTCCCCAAATCCCTCCATCTGATTCTCTCTCACTTTTTTCTCGGTCAGATCTACCTGCGGTTTCTGGAGTATCAGCTGGAGAATTCGAACGAGTGTAAGAAGAACTTTGTGGCCGTGTACGACGGCAGCAGTGCCATAGAGGACCTCAAGGTAGGCATTGGAATGAGAACTCACTCACTGACTCACTCACTCACTCATTCACTCACTGACTCACTAATATGCAGTAATGCATATCATTCCCACATTGCACGCATTCATAATAAAACTACAGAAGAATTAGCAATAATCAATATTACCGACTTATCGGAAAAAAGCTTGTGCAGTGATGATACATGTGATAATTAGTTTATTGTTGTCATACTTTTTGTTTGCCATATCATCATGTTTTATCATTATAATTTTAATTGTTTATTTACTGTGACATCATGGTTGCTGCAGGCCAAGTTCTGCAGTACCGTTGCCACTGACGTAATGCTTGACAATGGGGTGGGCGTGGTCAGGATGTGGGCCGACGAAGGCAGCAGACTCAGCCGCTTTCGCATGCTCTTCACCTCTTTCGCAGACCGTGAGTCCATCACGTCCTTTCTATCTTTCTCTTCACCCCTTTCTTCACCTGTTTGGCCTACCATGAGTCTATCACCCACTCACTTTACCTCTCTAGCACTCTTTCTATCTCTCTCTCTTTCCCTCACAGACTCACTCTTTCACTGAATCTGTTTTATGCTCCCCCTTTCCCTCTTTCTTCATCTCATCCTTATCTACTGTGTGTCTCACTCACTTTACCTATTTTTCGGTCTGTGACCTGTATTTCTATTGCTCATACTTACTTTTTCTTTTGGATCACTTTGGTGCAATCTTCACAAGTATGTGGTACATTTTCCCAACTCTAAGCTCATAATCTAAACAGGTCATCAAAATGGACATATTCAATTGACTGAGTACCAACAAAAAATCACAAAGTCACTTGTTCACTGCACCAAATCAATGTTTAAATTTGGATACACATTCAATCTAAGTATCTGCTTTTCAAAATTCAATATTCACTTTACTTTTAATATAAGTTTTTTTGTCATTTGTTAACAATACAATCAATTATCACTTAATCAAACTGCTCAAAACTGATAACTAGTTAACGTACAGTACCAGTCAAAAGATTGGACACACCTACTCATTCCAGGGGTTTTCTTTATTTTTACTATTTTCTACATTGTAGAACAATAGTGAAGATATCAAAACTATGAAATAACACATATGGAATCATGTAGTAACCAAAAAAATGTTAAACAAATCAAAATATATTTTATATTTGAGTTTCTTCAAATAGCCACCCTTTGCCTTGATGACAGCTTTGCACACTCTTGGCATTCTCTCAACCAGCTTCATGAGGTAGTCACCTGGAATGCATTTCAATTAACAGGTGTGCCATGTTAAAAGTTAATTTGTGGAATTTCTTTCCTTCTTAATGCGTTTGAGCCAATCAGTTGTGTTGTGACAAGGTAGGGGTGGTATACAGAAGATAGCCCTATTTGGTAAAAGACCAAGTCCATATTATGGCAAGAACAGCTCAAATAAGCAAAGATAAATGACAGTCCATCATTACTTGAAGACATGAAGGTCAGTCAATCCGGAACATTTCAAGAACTTTGAAAGTTTCTACAAGTGCAGTCGCAAAAACCATCAAGCGCTATGATGAAACTGGCTCTCATGAGGACCGCCACAGGAATGGGAGACCCAGAGTTACCTCTGCTGCAGAGGATATGTTCATTAGAGTTACCAGCCTCAGAAATTGCAGCCCAAATAAATGCTTCACATAGTTCAAGTAATAGACACATCTCTACATCAACTGTTCAGAGGAGACTGCATGAATCAGGCATTCATGGTTGAATTGCTGCAAAGAAAGCGCTACTAAAGGACACCAATAATAAGAAGAAACTTGCTTGGGGCAAGAAACACGAGCAATGGACATTAGACCGGTGGAAATCAGTCCTTTGGTCTGATGAGTCCAAATTTGAGATTCTTGGTTCCAACCGCTGTGTCTTTGTGAGATGCAGAGTAGGTGAATGGATGATCTCTGCATGTGTGGTTCCCACCGTAAAGCATGGAGGAGGAGGTGTGATGGAATGGGGGTGCTTTGCTGTTGACGCTGTCAGTGATTCATTTAGAATTCAAGGCACACTTAACCAGCATGGCTACCACAGCATTCTGCAGCGATACGCCATCCCATCTGGTTTGCTCTTAGTGGGACTATCTTTTGTTTTTCAACAGGACAATGACCCAACACACCTCCAGGCTGTGTAAGGGCTATTTGACCAAGAAGGAGAGTGATGGAGTGCTGCAGCAGATAACCTGGCCACCACAATCACCTGACCTCAACCCAATTGAGATGGTTTGGGATGAGTTGGACCGCAGAGTGAAGGAAAAGCAGCCAACAAGTGCTCAGCATATGTGGGAACTCCTTCAAGACTGTTGGGAAAGCATTCCAGGTGAAGCTGGTTGAGAGAATGCCAAGAGTGTGCAAAGCTGTCATCAAGGAAAAGGGTGGCTACTTTGAAGAATCTCAAATATAAAATATATTTTGATTTGTTTAACACTTTTTTGGTTACTACTTGATTCCATATGTGTTATTTCATAGTTTTGATGTCTTCACTATTATTCTACAATGTAGAAATAGTAAAAATAAAGAAAAACCCTTGAATGAGTAGGGCGTCCAAACTTTTGACGGGTACTATATATAGTTTGATAACTGCTGTAAAATTCTATATTTCTACCTCATAAATGTATCAATTTGACATCCATTTATGGTTGAAGGTTAAACCAAATCATATATGTATGTGGCTCTGAACGCTACATCATCATTCTCCGTCAGCCAGTGTGCTTCAATTGGACAAAGTGGAAATAGTCACTATGTGCTACCATTTGGAATTATAGTGTAGTGTACAATGCACTGCTGAAATACCTGGGTTGTGTAACAATATATTTCACTCATTATCTGTGTAAGCTGAGAGACAGGTGATACTGTGTTAGTTGACAAGTCGAAAAGGTGATCTTGTACAATGTTCCATTGGGCAGAAATCAGTGGAAGCTGCTGAAAGGAGGACAGCTCATAATAATGGCTGGAATATAGTGTAATGGCTGGAATGGAGTTAATTGAATGGTATCAAACACATGAAAACCAAAATTTGCGGCCATTATTATGAGCTGTCCTCCACTCAGCAGCCTCCACTGGCAGAAATGGCGTACAAAACCATGCTACGTTTTTACAGTAGCCAACTGCTTAACAATACCCCTATATCTGATGATTTGTCCTACGTACTGTATGTACTGTATGGTGCATGTCAAGTTATAATCATATACTGTATGGAAAAGTATATTTACCATCTACTATTTGGTTCTATTCAGCACTGCAAAAAGAACAGTTTTGCAATGTGTATCTTGTATTTTTTGCTATTGGATTTAATGGTGAGCATTATCTGATGTATTGGTGACTAAATGAAATGTTGTCATGGTATTTCACAGATTTTTTTTGCATGAATCACTGATAAATTATTTTGCATGAATGACTCAGTGTTGAAAGGTGTGAAACCCCAACGAATGCACAATCAAAGGTTCTGAACATACCATAGGGGGCAGTACAAGTGTTATCAGTGTAGAGTTTTGTACTTAGAGTTTAGAAAATTCAGCACATACTTGTGAAAATAGCACCAAAGCGATTGTAAAAAACTGTAACATAATTGTATCCTCTTGTGGCTGAGACTTCACATAGCTGTTTCAGATTTTTTTTATTTTGACGCTATAGGTTTACATACACTATATATACAAAAGTATGTGGACACACAACAACTGCTCAGTCGTGAAGTGGTAGGCCACAAGCTCACAGAACGGGACTGCTGGATGCTGAAGAACGTAGCGCGTAAAAATTGTCTGTCCTCGGTTGCAACACTCACTACCGAGTTCCAAACTGCGTCTGGAAGCAACGTCAGCACAATAACTGTTCGTCGGGAGCTTCATGAAATGGGCTTCCATTGCCGAGCAGCCACACACAAGTCTAAGATAACCATGCGCAATACCAAGCGTCAGCTGGAGTGGTGTAAAGCTTGCCGCCATTGGACTCTGGAGCAGTGGAAACGCGTTCTCTGGAGTGATGAATCACGCTTCATCATCAGCCAGTCCAACGGACTAATCTGGGTTTGGCGGATGCCAGGAGAACAGGAGGACGTTACCTGCCCCAATGCATAGTGCCAACTGTAAAGTTTGGTGGAGGAGGAATAATGGTCTGGGGCTGTTTTTCATGTTTCGGGCAAGGCCCCTTAGTTCCAGTGAAGGGAAATCTTAATGCTACAGCATACATTCTAGACGATTCTGTGCTCCCAACTTTGTGGCAACAGTTTGGGGAAGGCCCTTTCCTGTTTCTGCATGACAGACAATGCCCCCGTGCACAAAGCGAGGTCCATACAGAAACAGTTTGTTTAGATCAGGGTGGAAGAACTTGAATGCCCATGATTTTGGAATGAGATGTTCGACGAGCAGGTGTCCACATACTTTGGTCATGTAGTGTAACATAACTATGCTAGAATAGGTTAGAACTAAAATAATGCCTCATCATGTTGTTGAATAAAAAAATGTGTGTGTGTGTGTGCTGTGTGCGTGCATGTGTGTGTTGCAGCCCCATGTTCAGGCGACATGTTCTTCTGTCACAGTAGCATGTGCATCAACAATTCTCTGGTGTGTAACGGGGTGCAGAACTGTGTCTTTCCCTGGGACGAGAGCAACTGTAAAGGTGAGACACATGCTATGTTATACTGTATTATATTTTCCTAATATCATCTTCATATTTCACATCAAGAGGAAAAACACATTTTTGTTGGTCGATTCCCAGAATCGGGAGGGAATGAGCAGGGAATCCGGAATCCTCCCACTTGGGTTTCTGGAAAACCTAGGAATTTTGCAAAAGTTATCGGAATTTTGTAACCCTAAGTCTCTCGTCCCCCCCCCCCCCCCCCCCCCCTCGCTCTCTCTGTAGAGAAGAAGCCTAAAGGTATATTCCATCACATTACTAAGACCCATGGGACAATTATAGGTGTGTCTACAGGACTCGTCCTCCTCCTCCTCATCATCTCCATATTGGTGCAGGTCAAACAGCCACGCAAGAAGGTGTGTAGCAACCAAATTTTACAAATATTACAAATTACGTAATATTGTGTGTGAATGAACAGAATTCGTCAAATGAAGCACTTTACTATTCTACAAGTGGCATGGGTCTGGGTCGTCGAGAGAAATAAAGCTTCTATCACGCTAGAGGCTTGTGGGATCCTAACCCTTGTATGTTAACAGGTGGTTGCGCGGAAGAGTGCCCTTTTCAATCGAGCTGACTTCCAGGAAGTGTTTGAACCTCCGCACTACGAACTCTTCTCACTCAGAGAGAAGGTGGGTTTAACATCTAGATTTCATGATATATACCGAACAAAAATATAAACGCAACATGCAAAAATGTCAACGATTTTTCTGAGTTACAGTTCATATAAGGAAATCAGTTAATTGAAATAAATTAATTAGACCCTAATCTATGGATTTCACATGACTGGGCAGGGGTGCAGCCATAGCTGGGCCTGGGAGGGCATAGGCCCACCCACTGGGGAGCCAGGCCCTGCCAATCAGAATTATTTTTTTCCCACAAAAGGGCTTTATTACAGACAGAAATACTTCTCAGCACCCCCACCCCCCCTCAGTCGATTCCGCAGGTGAAGAAGCCGGATGTGGAGGTCCTGGGCTGGCGTGGTTACACGTGATATGCGGTTGTGAGGCCGGTTGGACGTACTGCCAAATTCTCTAAAACGACATTGGAGGCAATTTATGGTAGAGAAATGAACATTCAATTGTCTGGCAACAGCTCTGGTGGACATTCCTGCAGTCAGCATGCCAATTGCATGCCAATTGAAATGATCAGGCTGTTTAATCAGCTTCTTGATATGCCACACCTGTCAGGTGGATGGATTATATTGTCAAAGGAGAAATGCTCACTAACAGGGATGTAAACGCATTTGTGCGCAACATTTGAGAGAAATAAGCTTTTTGTGCGTATGGAACATTTCTGGGATTTTTTATTTCAGCTCATGAAACATGGGACCAACACGTGGTCCTCTGTAGCTCAGCTGGTAGAGCACGGCGCTTGTAACGCCAAGGTAGTGGGTTCGATCCCCGGGACCACCCATACACAAAAAAAAAAATATGTATGCACGCATGACTGTAAGTCGCTTTGGATAAAAGCGTCTGCTAAATGGCATATTATTATTAACACTACATGTTGCGTTTATATTTTTGTTCAGTTTAGTTTATTATGCTATGTTTTATACTGATGTTTTAATCTTGTATTTTACTTTGCTTTACTTCACTTAGTTAATAAAGTAGTGATGATGATGATGATGATGATGATCACTGTATGAAGATGTTGACCATTATCTTTGTCATCCTAAGGAGCTGTCTACGGACATAGACCTACCAGAAGAACTCCAGTCTCTCAACGCTCTGAGACGTTCCTCCACCCCTTCCCGCTGCATCCATGAGCACCACTGTGGCTCCCAGGCCTCCGCCAACCCCAGCCGAAGTGCTTCCTCTGTGGGCATAGGATCCATGGAACTGCCTCCCTTCCAGGGCGAGTTCACCCAGGGTCAGCCAGGCTCCCTACCCTCTCTGAGAGGCGTCAACAGCAGCCTGAGGAAGAAGAGCTGGCCTAGTATGAAACAGGTAGGACTGGTGGGGGGCGAGGGCCTGGGGGACCGGGTAAGGGGGAGGGAGGATAGGGTGATGGAAGAGGAGGAAGAAGAGGAGGAGGAAGGAGGGAGGTGTGATGTGTATGTACGCAGAGGGATGAGCATGAGAGCCATCTGTGAGATGTCTCAGCAGAGATCGATGTCCATGGACTTCTGAGAGAGAAAGAGGGGAGGAGGAAGGGGACAGAAAGGAGGATGTGGTGGAGGAAGGAGAGAACATTTGTGATAGAAGAACAGTCAGTATCCCTTGACACATTTCCTAAGAAGGAAAAAAGACTGGACCCTAACCCCTAACCTAGACACTCTCTCTGGTATCTCTGAAACTTCGACTATACTGCTGCACTGGATCCACGAATTAAAGGCATCATCTGTAACTTCGATCACCGTTAAAAAGTGCAGCCCTGACACTTTCTTGAAGGGGACAGTCTTGTATGCAAACCACAAGTATGACAACCAAAAAGGAAGAGGAACAGGAACACACTGATATTTAGTTTTAAGTTGATTATATTTGTATTTCATGTTTTGCCACAGGGAACAGATAATTAGCGGAGTGTGTCTTTAAAGTGAGGCTGCTTGAACAAATACTGTTCCAAGGCTGGAGACAGGCCATATAGTGTATATTTCTAATTTTTTTCATGACATACCTCACTGTGTATTTTTCCCCCAAAGTTTTTTTCCCTAAAGGTTTTTTCTCTCCATTTGTTAATTTTGTATTCATAGATTTAGAGAGGATAGTTGATGAAGAATTGTGTTACGGTTAGCACTGGATGATAATGATGATGAAGGATACCTTGTAACATTGTGTTGTTGTTTTGTTTAGATTTATTTTGTTTTGTTTTGTTTTGTTACTGAATATATTAAAGAATGTAACTCTTGGTGACTGGGGTGAGTTGAGCTGTGATGGTGAGTGGATCATGTGGCTGTGGTAGATGAGGATCAGAGTGAGTTTCAGTTGAACACTCTCCAACGCCCACCCTTCTCTCTGCTGAGAATGCATGGTTTTATGAGGCTTCCTGTAATGGTGTGTCACACCACTACGCAGGCAGGAAAGCCCCTCTTGAAACCCTGACTAATACAACCATTATACAAGCAATATACAACAAATAAACAACCAAATGTACAAACAATATGCATACTGTAAACAGTGAGCTCAAAAAGTATTGGGACAGTGACACATTTGTTGTTGTTTTAGCTCTGTACTCCAGAACTTTGGATTTGAAATGGTACAATTACTATGAGGTTAAAGTGAGGCTGTCAGCTTTAATTTGAGGGTATTTTCATCGATATTGGGTGAACCGTTTAGACATTTTAGGGGACCAAAAGTATTGGGACAAATTCACTTATGTGTATTAAAGTAGTCAAAAGTTTAGTATTTGGTCCCATATTCCTAGCATGCAATGACAACATCAAGCTTGTGGCTACAAACTTGTTTGATGCATTTGCTGTTTGTTTTGGTTGTGTTTCAGATAATTTTGTGCCCAATAGAAATGAATGGTCATTTTGGAGTCACTTTTATTGTAAATAAGAATAGAATATGTTTCTAAACACTTCTACATTAATGTGGATGCTACCATGATTACTGATAGTCCTGAATGAATCGTGAATAATGATGAGTGAAAAAGTTACAGATGCACAAATATCATACCCCCAAGACATGCTAACTCTTCACCATTACAATAACATGGGAGGTTAGCATTTTGGGGGGGATATGATTTTTGTGCGTCTGTAACTTCCTCACTCATCATTAATCACAATTAATTCAGGATTATACATAATCATTGTAGCATCCACATTAATGTAGAAGTGTTTAGAAACATATGATATTCTTATAGTGATTGTATCATTTCAAATCCAAAGTGCTGGAGTACAGAGCCAAAACAACAAAGAATGTGTCACTGTCCCCAATAGTTTTGGAGCTCACTGTAGCTTGTTAGAACCACCCTATGGGCAGTGGTTGGTTGGCTGAGATTACTTCTCCAGTTATTTAGTTATGCAGAGCTACAATAAGTGCATTACCTACCTCAACTAAGTTGGGTAAGACAATGATATATGACTACTAAGGACTGATATAAGCCTGGGAATAAAACACTGGTTTTCCCATCTAAGCCACAGCATTATAAGACACATTAACCAGAAAATACTTCAGTGATGAGTCAGAACATAGCTCTTATTCAAAATAATAAGAGCTATGAACTAATTCTCTCTCTCTCACACACACACACACACACACACACACACACACACACACACACACACACACACACACACACACACACACACACACACACACATACAGACACACACCTGCATTTGTACCTGCATGGTATGAGGACAATGAGATCTCTCATTACTGATGGTATGTGACCCAGTTGAGTCAGACTTGGTTTGGTAAACAGAGTAGATGAAGGTTTAACAAACGTGAAGCCTTGAGTCTGGTGGCTCACATCCAACTTATTCTCCATGACAGAGGATGGCTTTGTTATAATGTGTTGATTACTGCTCTATGTAGGTCACTCATATTGTATTACAGTTTTTTACGATTGTTTACACACTAAAATTAAAATGTCCATACAATTAGCAAAATTGTACTCCAATGAGCAAAACACCTCCACAGATTTGCACAACATTACACACAATGTCCGCCTCACCCTTTTTGCAAAACATTACACACAGTGATTTGTAAAACTCTACACACATTTTCACACCTTAGACACAGATAAGGATCGTGAGGTTACTTCCTTGTAATTACAAAGCACCGGATTGCCAATTACCACACTAATGAACGAATTGGATAAACACATCTACCAGGTGTGGAAGCACACATGTGCTAATTTGAAAACGCAGCACTCAGGTGTGCTATAAAAGGCAGCAGGTGAGTTCACATGTCTTCAACAAAAATGGAAGGAGTTAGAAGAAGAAGAAGAGTGAGAATGAGAGGGGGAGCTCAAAGAGGAGATGAAGGCGGTAGAGGAAGAGGAGAAGGAGGTAGAGGAAGACACCTAGGTAGAGGAAGAGGTAGAGAAGGACTTGAAGAGTTGATAGAACCTGAACAAAGAAGACGAGGACCAAATTTGACTCGAGAAATCCGTGCAACACTTATTGACCATGTTATCAACCATATATATATATATTTATTTATTTTTATCTTATTTTGTTTTTACATAGGATTGAGGGTCGAGGACACCAAGGTGGAAGGGGCCCTATGTTTAGTCGTGCACAAGAGGCCGCCATTGTGAACATGGTTTTGGTCAATAATTGTATCAGGCTACGAGAAATCCAAGCCAATATCATCAATGATGACAATATTTTCAATAACATCCAACAAGTCTCTCTGTCAACATTAGGTTGAATCCTAAAGAAAAATCAAATATACATGAAGCAACTGTATCGGGTACCATTTGACAGAAATTCAGAGAGAGTGAAACATCTGCGCAATGAGTATGTGGAGGCATGCATTGTTCATCTGACTATGGTGTGGGATCATGCACTGCTCATAATGTTCTGTCACAAAAAAATACTGTGCTATAGATATTGAATAGCATCCTATTTTCTTTAATGTGTTTCAGAGAGTCTTGCAAATGGATGCTGCTGAAATTCAACATGAATTTATATATGTGGATGAGGCTGGATTTAACCTTGCAAAAACAAGAAGAAGAGGGAGAAATGTAATTGGGCACAGGGCAATCACCAATGTGCCAGGGCAGCGAGGGGGTAACATCACCCTTTGCGCTGCTATCACACAAAATGGGGTCCTCCACCACCATGCAAATCTGGGACCCTATAATGCAAATCTGATACTTGCATTTCTTGACCGATTGCATGAGATTGTCACAGCATTACACCAAGTGGACCAGATGCGGTACATTGTCGTTTGGGACAATGTCTCATTTCATCGGGCTGCTCTAGTCCAGAACTGGTTCCATGATCACCCTGATTTTGAAGTTTTATACCTTCCCCCATACTCCCCCTTCCTGAATCCTATAGAATAATTTTTTTCAGCGTGGCGGTGGAAGGTATATGACCTGCGGCCTTATGACCGTTTGCCCCTCATTCAGGCCATGGAACAGGCATGTGATCTTATTGAAGCAGCTTCAGTGCAGGGGTGGATTCGTCACACAAGGCGATTCTTCCAACGGTGCCTTGCCAATGAAGACATAGCCTGTGATGTGGAATGAAATGTTATGGCCTGATCCAGCCAGACGGAGAGACGGATAGTTACAGTATTCTTGTTGCTTTTACAGTAGTTTTCTTTCATTTCTGTTTACTTTTACTTTACTTTTCTTCAGAGTCAAAGTGTATGTACTGTAATTCATGCAGTAATTTTTATTTGTCTACGGATTTTATTTGTTTACAGTAATTGATATCATTGTTGGTTGATTACTGTAACTGATCATGGTAAGAAATACTGTAAGTATTGAAATAAATACTTGAAATATTCAGTCTGCAGCATCAAGTGTTGTGCAGTGCTTGGTAAGGTTATAGTAGGCCTACATTATGTCTACATTCTCCTTATATCTCAAAACAAATCATGAATAATGTTGTGAGTTTCTCACTATTTTTTGTCACCTAAATTATCTCTCACATACAGTAAGAATGTCTGGCCAAAAATCTTTTTTTTTTTTTTTTTTTTACAAATGTGTTTTTTATTTATCACAGCAGTGTGAAACTGGCTGCAATAGTGTATGATCATTGATGACTGTGTTGGTTAAATGAAAACAAATAGCATTTTCACAAATATGTGTATATGTTTTGACTGAAGTGTGTATGTTTTGACTGAAGTGTGTCATTTTGCAAACAATCTAGGAATTTTGCTAATTGATTGTGGTGTTTGGATAATTGTGATTATATTTTGACAAAAAGAACTCTGTTTTCAAAATCGCGTGTAAACAATTGAAAAAAACTGTAATGGTCTAGAATTTACTATGTTTGATCTGTCGTTCCATAGATATGGTATGAATTAATGACCCATAATACTGTTTTATTTCTTTTATTTCTTTATCTTATGACATATAGTTAAATGAAAGTAGACTAATTGCACTGGTCAACTTTGGGCTGCTACATCATTCATTGAGTGAACCTGCAGAGCAGTTTTATTTTATCTGCACAAAAATGAATTTGGGACTAAAGTATTTAATTTTTCATTTTATTTATTTAACCTTTATTTTAGCAGGGAGTCCCATTGAGACCAAGGCCTCTTTTTCAAGGAAGGTAATACAAACATACAATACTACAAGCAATTTAAGAAGCAAACACATTCCTCAACAATGAGTTCCTCCATAAATTATATATAATATATAATATATAATTATTAATTATTAAAATAGTATAAAACACTTTAGTTAAAAAGCATACAAAGTACACAGTATTCACTAATGACCTGATTCACAGATACGATAATCACATGCAACTAGAGCTTTCGCATAAATGATCCATGTCAATGGCAGAGATGTGCTGAAAAGTTAAGCACACAACTGTGCACTGATCTCAAATCAGAGTACAGCCTACTGAAAAGTGAAAAGGCACAGGACCTAACTATGGCTTTTTGTCTCTGTAGGTGCTGTAGAAATCCACTATTTTCACCCCTTGCTCAGCACCTGTGGGCCAGAGACACACACAGGAAGTACAAACACATACAGGAAGTACAGAGGTTAAAACATTCAGAGATTTCAGACACAGCATCAAATAACAGTATTGGAGAGGAGTTATTTGAAACAGGAGGAAGAGGGGTTATTTGATTAAGGAAAGCTCAATTCATAGTTCACAGCTGCAATAGTCCACTGGCCCATTATACCATACTATAGCGAGTCTCATATCTCCAAAAGAGTGAACATATGTCATAACGGACCGGCAGACTATTGCAACTCTACCATATACACTATATATACAAAAGTATGTGGACACCCCTTCAAATTAGTGGATTCTGCTATTTCAGCCACACCTGTTACTGACAGGAGTATAAAATCGAGCACACAGCCTTGCAATCTCCATAGACAAACATTGGCAGTAGAATGGCCTTACTGAAGAGCTCAGTGACTTTCAACATGGCATAGGATGCCACCTTTCCAACAAGTCAGTTCGTCAAATTTCTGCCCTGCTAGAGCTACCCCAGTCAACTGTAAATGCTGTTATTGTGAAGTGGAAATGTCTAGGAGCAACATCGGCTCTGCCGCGAAGTGGTAGGCCACACAAGCTCACAGAACGGGACTGCCGAGTGCTGAAGAACGTAGCACATAAAAATCGTCTGTCCTCGGTTGCAACACTCACTACCGAGTTCCAAACTGCCTCTGGAAGCAACGTCAGCACAATAACTATTCATTGGGAGCTTCATGAAATGGGTTTCCATGGCCGAGCAGCCGCACACAAGCCTAAGATCACCAAGCACAATGCCAAGCGTTGGCTGGAGTGGTGTAAAGCTCGCCGCCATTGGACTCTGGAGCAGTGGAAACGTGTTCTCTGGAGTGATGAATCACGCTTCACCATCAGGCAGTCCGATGGGTGAATCTGGGTTTAGCGGATGCCAGGAGAACGCTACCTGCCCCAATGCATAGTGCCAACTGTAAAGTTTGGTGGAGGAGGGATAATGGTCTGGGGCTGTTTTTCATGGTTTCTAGCTAGGCCCCTTAATTCCAGTGAAGGGAAATCTTAATGCTACAGCATACATTTACATTCTAGACGATTCTGTGCTTCCAACTTTGTGGAAACATTTTGGGGAAGGCCCTTTCCTGTTTCAGCATGACAATGCTGAAACAGCATCGAACAACTTTGAGATGAATTGGAATGCAGACTGCGAGCCATACATAACCGCCCAACATCAGTGCCCAACCTCACTAATGCTCTTGTGGCAGAATGGAAGCAAGTCCCCGCAGCAATGTTCCAACATCTAGTGGAAAGTCTTCCCAGAGGAGTGGAGGCTGTTATAGCAACAAAGGGAGGTCTAACTCCATATTTATGCCCATGATTTTGAAATGAGATGGTCGACGAGCAGGTTTCCACATACTTTTGGTCATGTAGTGTATTTTAAGCTTGACCCAGGCAGTAGATTACCGTCATCACCTATGTAGCAGAGGAAGTTGAGGTGTTCATGGCACGTCCGGTCCCTCCAGAAGAAGCCCCCTCCACTGGCTAGCGCTCCACAGGGACTGGAGTGCTGCTTAGGGGCGGCCCATCTCTCCCAGTGGCTGAAGTCCATGTGGTCCCCGGTCATCCAGTACCACCTGTCTGCCATGAGGGACCTTAATATGAAGAGGATATTCAGTATCTCTGGAAGGACAATGGGAGTGGAATTCAAATATATATTGTTAGCCAACTTGTTTGTGCGTGTATCATTCACAATGAGGTATACCTGCGCAGGCCCAGCCACAGGTGTGGGGTTGAGGGGGGGGGGACGCGACTGCCCCCCAGCAAATCCTCCACCTCCCTCTGCTCATCCTCACTACGCACACTAAGCAGGTCCCAGTAATGGTCTCTGCAGTAGAATAGAGCGTCAGACCAACACAGCCTCTTGATCACCACCGTCACATTCCTCCCTCTAATCAGGAAACTGCCAGAAGGAGGAGGAGAAGGATGGGTAGGAGGGGGAGTGGTGGACAAGGGAGTGGAGGTTGAAGAAGAGAGGGAAGAGGATGTTGGAGGAGTTGCTGCAGGGTTTTTGGAAGCACTGGTGGAGGGAGGAGGAGTGGAGGGGACAGGGCTGGTTGTGTCTGAAACAGAGAGAGTTCCCAGTGTCTCACTTCTGACATGGCACTGACTCCACATTGTCATTCCATTGATTCCACATGCAAGAACACTCACCTACAACAATCTTTACTTTATTAGATTCATGTGACAATGCACATTAATCCACCCCTCTGAAAATGTAGACAAAAGGCTAATTTCCTATTTAAAAATAATGTAACCATCAAATAAACCTGTTTTTAACCCTCTAAGTCTTCACAACAAAGGATGTATATTGTTGTAACTATAAAGATGAACAGTGAAGACAGACATGGCGATTACCTGCACGAATGCCATAAACTTCCACTTCACACAGAATGAGAAACTTGTTCGGTCCAGGGATGACCACAGTGATGTAGCGACCCTCCGTCTCATTACACTGGAAGGTGTGGGTCTCTCCACCTAGGTTGTGGTAGATGACACCACATCTAAAAGATAGATAGAGAGAGACAGAGACAGAGGTGAGGGAGAGAGAGAGAGATGCAGACACCCAGTGTACATTACAGGAAAAGGTCCTATCTGATCACAGCCCACTCTATACTGTTTCTGTGGTGGTGGGGAGGGGCAATTGTGTCTAGTATGTCACCTGGAGTTGATGGTACCGTTGTTCTCCAGGGAGTTACCGATGTGGATCTCAGCACCATTCATCTGATCAGGACAGCAGTCTACTCTACTGGTGATGTTGACTGTGGTCACTCTGTGGACATCCAGCAGGTCTACGCTCCACCAGGGGCTGGCTTCATGAGCACTGTGGGAGCACTCTGGCATTTCTTTTCCATCAATGGCAAAATGTGCTGTGGGATAACCAGCATATTTTGATGACTCAGACGCCACTCCATTTGATGCCACGTTTTGAAGAGACACACCTTATCAAATAACGAACAACACATTCAGAGGTATCAAAATTAAACATATAGTTTGGGCTGTTAAATGATTAAAACATTAAATTGAGTTAAGTGCATGATTTGCTGTGATTGATCATGATTAGTCGCAAATTCAGAATTTGTTTAAATTGAGCTGCAATTTAAGATTTTTTGTACAAAAAAGCATTACAAGAATATTCACATTTTGATTTTGTCCAAATTAACGGTTAGCAAAATCAGGTAAATTGATAAAGGACATTTTTTTAAACCTCAATGTCAACTTGTTTTGGCATCACATTGTTGTTTTTAGCTGTATACAGTTGAAGTCGGAAGTTTACATACACTTAGGTTGGAGTCATTAAAACTCGTTTTTCAACCACTCCACATATTTCTTGTTAACAAACTATCGTTTTGGCAAGTCGGTTAGGACATCTACTTTGTGCATGACACAAGTAATTTTTCCAAAAATTGTTTACAGACAGATTATTTCACTTATAATTCACTGTATCACAATTCCAGTGGGTCAGAAGTTTACATACACTCAGTTAACTGTGCCTTTAAACAGCTTGGAAAATTCCAGAAAATTATGTCATGGCTTTAGAAGCTTCTGATAGGCTAATTGACATAATTTGAGTCAATTGGAGGTGTACCTGTGGATGTATTTCAAGGCCTACCTTCAAACTCAGTGCCTCTTTGTTTGACATCATGGGAAAATCAAAAGAAATCAGCAAGACCTCAGAAAAAAAATTGTAGACCTCCACAAGTCTGGTTCATCCTTGGGAGCAATTTCCAAACGCCTGAAGGTACCACGTTAATCTGTACAAACAATAGTACGCAAGTATAAACACCATGGGACCACGCAGCCGTCATACCACTCAGGAAGGAGACGCGTTCTGTCTCCTAGAGATGCAAAGGACCTTGTGAAGATGCTGGAGGAAACAGGTACAAAAGTATCTATATCCACAGTAAAACTAGTCCTATATCGACATAACCTGAAAGGCCGCTCAGCAAGGAAGAAGCCACTGCTCCAAAACCGCCATAAAAAAGACAGTCTACGGTTTGCAACTGCACATGGGGACAAAGATCATACTTTTTGGAGAAATGTCCAGTGGTCTGTTGAAACAAAAATAGAACTGTTTGGCCATAATGACCATCATTAAGTTTGGAGGAAAAAGGGGGTGGCTTGCAAGCCGAAGAACACCATCCCAACCGTGAAGCACGGTGGTGGCAGCATCATGCTGTGGGGGTGCTTTGCTGCAGGAGGGACTGGTGCACTTCACAAAATAGATGGCATCATGAGGAAGGAAAATTATGTGGATTTTTTTGAAGCAACATCTCAAGACATCAGTCAGGAAGTTAAAGCTTGGTCGCAAATGGGTCTTCCAAATGGACAATGACCCCAAGCATACTTCCAAAGTTGTGGCAAAATGGCTTAAGGACAACAAAGTCAAGGTATTGGAGTGGCCATCACAAAGCCCTGACCTCAATCCTATAGAAAATGTGTGGGCAGAACTGAAAAAGCGTGTGCGAGCAAGGAGGCCTACAAACCTGACTCAGTTACACCAGCTCTGTCAGGAGGAATGGGCCAAAATTCACCCAACTTATTGTGGGAAGCTTGTGGAAGGCTACCCAAAACGTTTGACCCAAGTTAAACTATTTAAAGGCAATGCTACCAAATACTAATTGAGTGTATGTAAACTTCTGACCCAATGGGAATGTGATGAAATAAATAAAAGCTGAAATAAATCATTCTCTCTACTATTATTTTGACATTTCACATTCTTAAAATAATGTGGTGATCCTAACTGACCTAAGACAGGGAATGTTTACTAGGATTAAATGTCAGGAATTGTGAAAAACTGAGTTTAAATGTATTTGGCTGAGGTGTATGTAAACTTCCGACTTCAATTGTATATTATGTATTTTGGAAGTTTTCAGTGTATTCTGAACACTTTAAGACAATGGGATTAATCACAATTAAAAAGTTAACTGAATAACTCTAACAGCAGTTTGTTGATTCATGTAAAAAAATAACTTACCTGTCTTGACACTGTGCAGTAGGAGAAGGAAGGATACAGCTATAAAAGGTCAGTATGATTAATCATTATAGAATGGCTAGAGGTTTAGTGGTAGTCATAGTTTTGTTAGGGGTAATGGTTATAATTAACCACACAACAGTAGTATATCTGGATCAGGTAAAGGAGAAATAGTGGAGGTCAAGTCACTGTGAAAATAAATAGTTATGAGACCTACCAATCAAAATGTAGATAAATTGTCTCCACTCCATGGCTTTAATGTTCATGCGAGAGCAGAATTTAAATGAGCTATCTGAGAAATCAAAACTATAGCTCAATTGTTACATGGATCACCTTTAACAGTAAATAAACAGAGAAGAGGTACATAATTGGTAACTAAACATGGAGTGAAAATAGAGAAAAGAAGAGTGTCAACAGAATAAAATAATTTTATCGATGTCAAGATTGAATACCTACGACTCTCTCCCAGATGTCCGGGTCTTTCTGCCTTGGGTTCCAATGTGTATGACTATTTACATTATGATATGATATGTTATCAATAATGTAAATTCATTTACATTTTGCATATATTTGGTTTCCATTTTTTTTTTAAAATGTTCGATTTCCATGGAGAATATACTTCAATATTATAGAATAACTGTAAAGAATAATATTTTATTTTATAAAAAGTTCAAACAATACATGAAGTGTTTAATGTCTGGGTTAAGTGCTTGGATGGTGCAGGGCAGATCTCATGTTTTTCTTTGTTTATTGACCAGTCTAATGGCTACAGTGAAAAATATTTCCTCCTGTTGGTCTTACAATGGGGGGCAGCAGAAGAGCCTTCCTAATGGCAGGAGTTCAGATGTGGGATTGAGGATATGGGTTCCATCACACAAGATTGCAAAGTATGGGCCTTCCTAAAAGTTTGCTGTCAGGCTTGTTTGACCTTGGAGCTGAGGTTCACAATACTTTGAATATCAATATTCAACCAAAGATCTTATCACTATAAGGGATTTGGGAAACAAAATGTGTCCTTATAAAGTGTACCTTGCCATGTCATGTAAAATGACACCACTGACCTTCTGGCTCCAGGGAGTGCATACCAAGGCAAAGTAGGTAATGACAAGGAAGCACTATTGAACTTTCCGTTTTCCATAGACTGTGCCTGTATATCTCTTGCAATTTGTGTAGATAAGAAACACAGCCCAGTAGTCAAATTATGTGTTATATAACAACTTGTCCTGATCAACCATTAACACATAACGTCATATCGTACCTGCCCTGGGCCTCTGGCTAACCATTAACAGTGGTGTAGAGTCAATATAGAGTGACCTCTCGACCTGAACCACTGTTGTGTCTGCAGGGGTGTGTTTATATTAGGAGGGATGGGGTGGGGCAGAGTGATTGAGGAGAGAGGTTGTGAGGGAAGGGGTGTATGTGGAGCTTATAATAAAGGGCTGGGGGGACATTGACATGAGGGTACATGAGGGGGTTAGGAGTGAGGGGGGCAGCCGCACACAAGCCTAAAATCACCATACGCAATGTGGAGTGATGAATCACGCTTCACCATCGGGCAGTCCGACGGACAAATCTGGGTTTGGCGGATGCCAGGAGAATGCTACCTGCCCCAATGCATAGTGCCAACTGTAAAGTTTGGTGGAGGAGTGTTATGATGATATTAGGAGGTCATTTCATAGTGTTGTGTGAACTGGGTTAAATTGTGAGAGAAGTGATTCTTGGTGCCACAGAGTCTGAGGCAGGAAATTCCAATATGTCTAGGGAGGATATTGGTGTTTATATTGGAATTATTGATGGATAGAACATCCTGCTTGGGGTACAGGGTCATGACATCGAAGAAGGGAGTGCCCATTGATGGTTGCCAGATGTGGTTGAAGAAACGTGTAACCTAGGGTATATAAACTGAGAGATTTCAGTGTGTGGTCAGTTCAGAATGACATGGGGAAAAGCTATCGCCATTTGTTATACGAATCCATGGGCCCGTGATCAAATAAATACTTTATATGAACTCCCCACATAAGTGTCTAAGTACATTCTTACATCCTCACTTATCAATACCAGAAACTCATCATAACAAGGAGGGATAATGGTCTGGGGCTGTTTTTCATGGTTTCTAGCTAGGCCCCTTAGTTCCAGTGAAGGGAAATTGTAATGCTACAGCATACAATTACATTCTAGACGATTTTGTGCTTCCAACTTTGTGGCAACAGTTTGGGGAAGGCCCTTTCCTGTTTCAGCATGACAATGCTCCCGTGCACAAAGCGAGGTCCATACAGAAATGGTTTGTCAAGATCGGTGTGGAAGAACTTGACTGGCCTACACAGAGCCCTGACCTCACCCCATCGAATACCTTTGGGATAAATTGGAATGCCGACTGCGAACCATACGTAACCGCCCAACATCATTGCCCAACCTCACTAATGCTCTTTTGGCTGAATCGAAGCAAGTTGTGTGACCTCAACCTTTTAACCTCTCATGTATCTCATCACATACTTTAATGTGTATAGTCACACACTGACTGGGCCTGACACAGCAGAAAAATCCTATCTCATCTCTGTCACCCGTTGACTCAGCACTCCTATGTCTGAAGTCATGTCTGAAGTTATTATGATACAAGGTCACCATAGGACTAAACCATTTTGTTCTTAGGTTACCAAAAAAGAGATTAGGAGAACATCAGTAGAATGGGACTGGGTAAGAGGCCATTTATTGCACAAATAAAACATCATAACAACATGTTATGAAATGTTCTCCTGGGATTTTACTGCGCACAAAATAAGGTATACAAGCTAAAATACAGTACAGCACTGATCAACAAATAAATACAAAATCTAACTAAGACTCACATTTTGTATTTTTCTACTTTTATACACGTCAAACAATGTTCCCTCTAAGCTGCGTGCAGGTGCGCAGTAGCTTGAGACTGCCCCGCCACTCCCCCAGGACTGCCTTGCAGAGCGCAGAAGAAATATCAGCCCACAGAGAGAAGCACGAGATTGAACTTCACTCAACTTTCTAGACTTTTCCCTGTTAGTTAACACTATCAATGTTTCCCTTTACTGTGGCAATTGTGATCGAATCAACGCAATATTAGCCACTTTCAATGCATCATACCGAAACAAAACGAACTATGCAAGAGATTTTGTTGTAGGCAGAATGCATCAGAGTAGGATTCTATTGGCATGACCAGTGTGGCATAGCCAATCAGAGCTGCAGTAGGCCTATATGCAAATAGACCATTGCCATATATGGATCTGTGCCATTCACTTTGAGCTGGACTGTGTTTACAGCTATGGTCATGAGTAGATGCACTTGTTTTGAGATCAAAGCTGCATGTAGCCAAGTGTGCCCATTTTGTTCACCTCCTTTGCTAGTTAGTGAGTTATTAGACCAGTTATAGATCATGTGTAATCAGCAATAGGGGAGTGATTGCCTCCTACAAGAGCACAAAACGTGTACATTTCTAGAGGTCTTTGAAAAGATAGTCAGACAAAGAGCTTTTTTTTGTCTTAAAAGGGCAGTGTTGTAATTTGAGACAGGCTTCAATAAACTAAGTAGCCATGGGCAGAGGGTAGCATAATTTGTCTGATTCTCTGTAATAATGGTATGGGAATAATAATGCATTTTATTTTGTAAAGTGGTTTCTTGCATCAAACAACACAACAACATTCAGTCACCTCTTTGTCTGAAGGACAAGTGGATAAACAAGTTAATGTCAAACCCTGCATGTTTTTTTCAAAAGTCTCACAGAATGTACAGTGGGGGAAAAAAGTATTTAGTCAGCCACCAATTGTGCATGTTCTCCCACTTAAAAAGATGAGAGAGGCCTGTAATTTTTCATCATAGGTACACGTCAACTATGACAGACAAAATGAGGAAAAAAAATCCAGAAAATCACATTGTAGGATTTGTAATGAATTTATTTGCAAATTATGGTGGAAAATAAGTATTTGGTCAATAACAAAAGTTTCTCAATACTTTGTTATATACCCTTTGTTGGCAATGACACAGGTGAAACGTTTTCTGTAAGTCTTCACAAGGTTTTCACACACTGTTGCTGGTATTTTGGCCCATTCCTCCATGCAGATCTCCTCTAGAGCAGTGATGTTTTGGGGCTGTCGCTGGGCAACACAGACTTTCAACTCCCTCCAAAGATTTTCTATGGGGTTGAGATCTGGAGACTGGCTAGGCCACTCCAGGACCTTGAAATGCTTCTTACGAAGCCACTCCTTCGTTGCCCGGGCGGTGTGTTTGGGATCATTGTCATGCTGAAAGACCCAGACACGTTTTATCTTCAATGCCCTTGCTGATGGAAGGAGGTTTTCACTCAAAATCTCACGATACATGGCCCCGTTCATTATTTCCTTTACACGGATCAGTCGTCCTGGTCCCTTTGCAGAAAAACAGCCCCAAAGCATGATCTTTCTACCCCCATGCTTCACAGTAGGTATGGTGTTCTTTGGATGCAACTCAGCATTCTTTGTCCTCCAAACACGACGAGTTGAGTTTTTACAAAAAAGTTCTATTTTGGTTTCATCTGACCATATGACATTCTCCCAATCCTCTTCTGGATCATCCAAATGCACTCTAGCAAACTTCAGACGGGCCTGGACATGTACTGGCTTAAGCAGGGGGACACGTCTGGCACTGCAGGATTTGAGTCCCTGGCGGCGTAGTGTGTTACTGATGGTAGGCTTTGTTACTTTGGTCCCAGCTCTCTGCAGGTCATTCACTACGTCCCCCCGTGTGGTTCTGGGATTTTTGCTCACCGTTCTTGTGATCATTTTGACCCCACGGGGTGAGATCTTGCGTGGAGCCCCAGATCGAGGGAGATTATCAGTGGTCTTGTATGTCTTCCCTTTCCTAATAATTGCTCCCACAGTTGATTTCTTCAAACCAAGCTGCTTACCTATTGCAGATTCAGTCTTCCCAGCCTGGTGCAGGTCTACAATTTTGTTTCTGGTGTCCTTTGACAGCTCTTTGGTCTTGGCCATAGTGGAGTTTGGAGTGTGACTGTTGTGGAAATGTGTCTTTTATACTGATAACAAGTTCAAACAGGTGCCATTAATACAGGTAACGAGTGGAGGACAGAGGAGCCTCTTAAAGAAGAAGTTACAGGTCTGTGAGAGCCAGAAATCTTGCTTGTTTGTAGGTGACCAAATACTTATTTTCCACCATAATTTGCAAATAAATTCATTAAAAATCCTACAATGTGATTTTCTGGAGAAAAAAAATCTCAATTTGTCTGTCATAGTTGACGTGTACCTATGATGAAAATTACAGGCCTCTCTCATCTTTTTAAGTGGGAGAACTTGCACAATTGGTGGCTGACTAAATACTTTTTTTCCCCACTGTAGGCCTACATTGAACACAACACATTGGCTGCTACTGTAGGCTGATTGATAGAACAGCTATTTTCACGTTAAAATGTTATGGTATTTTCTCCATTGTTTTTGATGGTAGGCCACTCTGGTAGGCCTACATTATGATCAAATAGCAACAGTAGCCTACTTGGCCACTGTTAAAACTGTAACTTAAAGCGGGTACAGCCTCAGTGTTCACAGTAAATGCGCACTGGAAGTTGCACAGAATTTTCACAACGTTCAAGTTTGCTAAATGCCCCCCCAAAATTAAGGGAACATTGATGTCAAATGATAGAATAAAAAACATACCCCTGATCTTTCTACAATTTGTTCAGGGTGATACTATATTTACATTGACATTTTAGTCATTTATTAGACGCTCTTGTCCAGAGTGACTTACAACCTGATACAAAAGACTGTGAATGTGTACAAATGATAGCTTGCTATGCTTGCTTGTTATATTGTTTGCTAAGTTCTACACATTTCCTGCCATACTTGCTCTAGCTATCTATTGGAAAGTTGGAAAGGGGCCCATCCCCCACGCCTTAAGGATGTGCTTTGTAAACCATATCAACCAATTAATCAATCAAACGATGATCATTGTCATGTCATGTTGACTCCTACTATTCTCCGGCCCATCTGGCTCTACAACTCATCATAATAATCACCTCATCAACCCATCTTACAGAAATACCATGGTACTAAAAAAGGAATATGAAAGCATTGAAGATTATTTTCAGAATAAATAACACTCAAATAAGTACATAGTCAATTCCATTGTCTTGGCTCCGGAAAACCATCCCAGTGGGAGTAGAGGAATGAAGTTATCCCTAGAAACTGATCTAAGGCCAGTGTTGCATCGCTTCCCTCAATGGTGAAGGTTAGTATTTGAGCAGGGTAAACTTCTAGATCTGGGCCAGAGGGAGAATTCCACCAGCAGCCCAGCAGCGTCTCTCGAGTCAGCGGTCAGGGGTTAGAGGTCAGGCGTCAAGGGCGGCACCAAAAATTGTAAATAGATGAGATGTCCCAGTCAGGCTGATTACCATTGAACAAAAATGGTCAGTTTCAGTCTGCTTAAGGGGGTGGCTCTCCCATAGGCACCAATGCTGGGTCTGGTTTGCTTAGTTTATTGACTGTATATGAACCAGAAAAAAATAGCGAGTAGAATGTCTCACTTCCTCTTCCGTCACTCTGGTGGCCCCCTTCAGTGATTCGTCGAAGAAGGACAGGGGGGCGTCTTGGCTGAGCAGGGGCATCCTCTCTCCAAGCACAGCGTCCCTGAAGTTTGGTCGTCTCCAGGCGTAGACCACGCTGTTCAGACAGCCCTGCAGCGACACCGTCACCGCCTGCAGAGACACAACGATGGAGTATAGTGGGACCCAACTCAAAAAATCTATGTGATGATGTTGAATCAACGTGGAAAACTGATTGGATATGCAAAATGTAATTAACATAAGGGCATTTTTCTTTTTTTTCACCTAACTTTGAACCTAAATCCAATGACATGATTACATTTTTTTGTTGATTTCACATTGAATTCACATTAGTTGACAACTCAACCAAATGTAAATCAAAACTAGACATTGAACTGACTGACATCTGTGCCCAGTGGGTAAGAATAAAGCATTATGGGTGCTTATCTTAGTGTCATTATTGATTTTACATCGCTAAAGATCGCTCTCTAGGGGAAAGGGCAATTAATTCTGGGTGATGGTGTCTTAGCAGGGCTATGTATGTCTGCAGTCAGCAGAGAGATAGTTGTATAGAAATACTGACCTGTATAACATAGAGGGGGAAGAGCTTCTCTTGAGGTATGTCTGGCATCACAGACAGGACAACCAGAAGAAGAGCTGGGGATAGGAGAAAATATCAGAGGTTGGCAATACACACATACAATGCGTATGTGTGTGTGTGTGTGTGTGTGTGTGTGTGTGTGTGTGTCAGAGGGGGCTGGTGGAAGGAGCTATATGTCACGCCCTGGCTCGGGGGACTCTCGTATGTTGAGCCAGGGTGTTAGTTTCTATGTTTTTGTTGTGGGTCTAGGTTACTTATTTCTATGTTGGTCTGAGTGACTCCCAATCAGAGGCAACGAGTGTCAGCTGGTTGTCTCTGATTGGGAGCCATATTTAAACAGTCGGGTTTTCATTCGTGTTTGTGGGTTTTTGTTTCGAGTCTGTTTATGGTAACCGTGAACTGTCACGTATCGTTCGTTGTTTTTGTTCGTGTTGCCTTCAGTGAGAATAAATATGTTTGCCTTCAACGCTGCGCATTGGTCCACTCTGTTAGACGATCTTGACACTATAGGAGGACGGGCTCATTGTAATGGCTGGAATGGAATCAATGGAACGGAGTAAAACACGTTGTTTCCATGTGTTATGTGTGTTTGTTACCATTCCATTGATTCTATTCCAGCCATCACAATGATCCCATCCTCTTATAGATCCTCCCACCAGCCTGGTGTGTTTGTGTGTGTGTGTGTTTGTTGGGATGACTTTGTGTACCTGGTGTCCAGCAGAAGATGATAACCACTATCATGTAGCGAACAGTGGAGAACACACCCCTCAGTCGTTTCCTGGAACGTGCGTCTCCCTCCACAGGAAATAGTCCCTCCTCGTACCTGCGATACAAGCTGCCCACCTTGTAGTAAACCACCTGTACAGGTACAGTACATCATCATCATTACTCATCATTTTCATGATCATCATTCTTCATTATATTGGCTGTAAACTACTTAAACTACTGTAAATGAACCCATGTTTATATGTTAACTATATTGCGTGTTGTATGCTAGACTAGTGAAGATTTATGGTACTTACCGTGCAGCACACCAACACTAGTATCACACTGAAGAAGAGGAAGCATCGCATGAACATGTCATGGATCTGTTCCTGGAAAACAAAACAAACAAGATCTCATTCAGTCATGTCCAGTCCTTTTATAAACACACAGATACAACACAGGTGGAACCCAGGTATTTACTCACTATATCTGAGCAGTGGTCCCTCCAGATATGTAGGAGGAGGATACAGCTAGGAAGAAACACAGAGAGATGTGAGATAAGGAAACCATTTTGTTCATACAATTGTTTTTGCTAGAGTATCTACCTTTTCTCTCATTAGTGTCATAAGCATTATGCAAATGATTAGGACAAATCTTGACAAAGACACACACACACACACCTGGTGCAGTATGTGCTAACTTCACTGTTGTTTGCCGTCCCGTGGCTGGCTGGTACCAAGTCCGCTGTGGTCAGGACTAAAGTCATAATGTACGCAAAGTACATCACCAATGGCGTAAACCTGAAGGGGCATCACACACACAAAAAGTTAGGGATATGTGTTGCTTTTAAGACACTACGCAGATCCGTTTGGTTTAAAGCAGGGACGTTTTTAGTTGGAAATTAAATTGTGACTCACCATACAAGTGTATATACAGGCAAAACCACCACCCTTCGTCTACACTGGGACTGGGGGGAGAGAGAGATATTTGATTTTAGAATGAATCAAACAGAGTCGAGGTGTGTGTGTGTGTGTGCACTTGGTGGAGGGTTGGGTCCTCACCTCTTCCTCTCTTGGTCTCTCCCGCCATCCCTCGATGGCATGCTTTGACTCCCAGGCATACACTATCACCAGCAGGAACGACACACAGTAAAACGTCTGGAACAGAGAACACACACACACACCATACACACACACAAACACACACACTGTTAAATGTATAGAAAAAAGCACACCGTAAAGTGTAAAGAACAGCAAGCGCACACAATTAAAGGTCTATAATAGAAAAGGACAAGCTGTAAAACTTCGCTTCTTCACACTCGGTCCCTATAAATGACACGGCATAATGTCATGCTCCATGACATAACACAGTATAGAACAGTTCATCCACCCCAAATGTACTGCGTGTTCTGTCTGACCTGCACATTCGTCTGCTGATATGTGAATGTAAAGTCTAAACTTTTAAAGTTGGATCACTCACGCTGTAGCACTCAAAGACATATATATACAGTATCTATGCCTTATCTATACCTTAGTCTAGAGGTGAGCACACAAGCGTTCTTGTCTTTTTATAAACCATATTTCAAGAAATTGTTTGGCTATTCACAGTTCTGTAGTGCGTCTCAAAGCTATAGAGTGTATTTAAAGGGGACCAAGTACAAAATTGAACTCTACTGTATCTATAAAATGTTCATTCTAAGATGAGGATTATTATAGTGCACTATCCCTACGAATAAGAACCACTGTAGGCTGGCTCACCAGTGACAGAGGCAGTAGGCGTTTACAGATTAACACACTGTGGGTGAAGCTGTCAGTCTCATTCATTACGTTGGTGAACATCAGGGTGGCTGCTGCCAACAGATCAGCTAGAGCCAGCTGGACCAGGGGCTGCACCTAGAGAGACACAGGCATTTGTGTGTTAGCAAAACTAAGAGAAAATGACAACAACATCGTACATCAATGGCCACAGAATATAGCCTGTCTAATGTGCTTGAGGTAAATGGGAATAGACTTGATATCATTCATAGCCGTGGTGTTACAGCGTCTGTAAGACTGTGTCAAGGGTCACATTGGTCCCATCACCAAACTACTGACAGTGCTCTGGATGGGTTATTGTATGTATGGACATTCAGTGAATAGTTTGTACTGTTACTGTTTGTTATGAGGAGTTTCTCCAGTGTCAATTAATTCAGGATGCAAGAGAATAGTTAAACACTTAGATGGAGAGTTGATTCAAAGTATTTAATATTGCGGTACCGGGTTCACATAGCAAACGGCACGTGGGTGGCCCATTGCTATCTGAACTCACTGAACAAAGGAAATCTCTTAGCTTATATACTTGTTTGCAAGCTAATTCTATCCAACAGTTGCCAACCATTATTGAATGTCACTCCTCACCACATATAGGATCACCCTATATGGTATCGTGTTGCACCCTAGTCAGGATATTCCATCACGTACTCCTTCTAAGATTAGCAACAGTGGCCCCCCAGCTATCTTGGCCCGCATACCTTCTGGCACCCACCAGTGACAGAAATAAATACATGGAATGTCCTCATCCTCCAAATCCTTATGCAGCTCACAATATTTCAAACATTAACTAATCCTGTATAAAATACGTAATATCACTGTTTGTTCCCTGTTCTATAGTTCAGGTATTATTTTCCCTTTGTCCAACCAGCCCCTGTGACCCTACTAGAACGTGCCTCTCTGACTTTAGCTAGAGTTGATAGACCATGCAGTCCTATAGTTCTGCCTCAATGAGGGAGTATAGACACAGACAGACAGAGAGGGAGTAGCCGGGGCCATGTTCAGTAGGCCACAACGTTTTGGAACATAATGATTAGGTTCTGTAGAAAATGCATGCCTCTATTTGACATTTAGAGTAAGGAATCATGTCAGCTCTATTCATGACTATTCTATCTGCAATGTTCAGGTAGTTACATATTAATGAGAGTGAGCCTGGTAAACAGATATTTAGCCAAGACACCTTCTTGGAAATCATTTTTACATTAACTAAGTTGCATTAGCACACTCACACACACACACACACACAGGTACACATACGCACACACACACACACGCACGAACACACACACACACAAACAATCAAACATTTTCTTCTCATCCACCTACCTGTTCTTGTAAGTGCCTCCTCCTTGCGATGGAAACAACCAGCACTGAAAAACTCCCAATCAAACTGTAAGCAGAAAGTAAAATACCTCAATACTGATAGTATAAAATTATAGCACCATTACATAACATTCAATCATGTCATTCAGCATGTTCACAAAGGTTGTGATGGAAAATGAATACAATCAAATTGAAACAGAAACCCATGGAATACAATAAAGAAATATAAAATCCAAGATCAAATGTAATGTACAGTACCAGTCAAAGTTTTGGACACACCTACTCATTCAAGGGTTTTTCTTTATTTTTACTATTTTCTAAATTGTAGAATAATAGTGAAGACATCAAAACTATGAAATAACACATATGGAATCATGTAGTAAACAAAAAAGTGTTCAACAAATTAAAATATATTTGAGATTTGAGATTCTTCAAAGTAGCCACCCTTTGCCTTGATGACAGCTTTGCACACTCTCGGCATTCTCTCAACCAGCTTCATTTCAGTTAACAGGTGTGCATTCTTAAAAGTTAATTTGTCGAATTTCTTTCCTTCTTAATGCGTTAGACATAGAAACACAGTGCTTTATATTTTTTCTATGGCTGAGGGTCATACTTAGGTAGCCGTTAGGCATTCATTATTTGTGGTTTCTTGTTCCGTGTTGGTTTGTTTATGTAACCAGGGACGTCACGTTTCGTTTTGTTGTTTTGATCGTGTGATCATTCTAATAAATAAAATGTTCGCATTCAACGCTGCGCCTTGGTCCTCCTCTATGAATGACGATCGTGACAGAAGAAACCACCAAGATGTGACCAAGCAGCGTGTCCAGGAGCCATCGCCAGGGAGATCCCTAACAGATCTCCTTCGCCTCCTCGACTGGGTCAAGCCGAGTGAGGAAGAGAAGGGCTTGACATTGTGGCAGAAGGGCGAAAGGCTGGCGAGGGACATGGAGACCTGGTCCACGTGTAGGGGAGACGCCCAGAAATTTTTTAGGGGGGGGCTAACGCCGTGGACGACGGGCCAGCAGGAGACCGCGGCAGAGCGGCCCAGCGGATTGGCAGAGGCCGCCAGGTTACGGGGGCCACTGGTCGAAGAGGGGGTGGAAGATGTAGAGGCACGGCGAGAGGTACTGGCGTGTGTTGCCAGTCCGGTCCGGCCTGTTCCTGATCCCCACGTAGGGCCAGTGGTGTGTGTTCCCAGTACGGTCCGGCCTGTTCCTGCCACTCGCACCAAGTCTACGGTGCGCATCGCCAGCTCGGCCCGGCCCATTCCTGCTCCCCACACCAAGTCTGTGGTGCGTTTCGTCAGCCCTGTCCGGCCCGTTCCTGCTCCCCGCACCAAGTCAGTGGTGCGCGTCGTCAGCCCGGCACGGCCCGTTCCTGCTCCCCGCACCAAGTCAGTGGTGCGCTTCGTCAGCCCGGCACGGCCCGCTCCTGCTCCCCGCACCAAGTCAGTGGTGCGTTTCGTCAGCCCGGCTCGGCCCGCTCCTGCTCCCCACACCAAGTCAGTGGTGCGCGTCGTCAGCCCGGCACGGCCCGTTCCTGCTCCCCGCACCAAGTCAGTGGTGCGCGTCGTCAGCCCGGCACGGCCCGTTCCTGCTCCCCGCACCAAGTCAGTGGTGCGCTTCGTCAGCCCGGTCCGGCCCGCTCCTGCTCCCCGCACCAAGTCAGTGGTGCGTTTCGTCATCCCGGCTCGGCCCGCTCCTGCTCCCCACACCAAGCCAGTGGTGTGCGTCGTCAGTCCGGCACGGCCCGTGCCTGTTCCACCCGGTGGCGGGTCCGGCACCGGTCAGGTGCTGCGTCACGCCGGAGCTAGAGCAATCCGCTCCACCAGTGTTCAGTTCAGCTCTGGTCAGCAGGGCCAGACCGGACCAGGGGTACTTTGGGGGGTTAGAGAAGGAGTGGGGGTCATGTCCGGAGCCGGATCCGCCGCCGAGGCGGAGTGCCCACCCGGTCCCTCCCCTGTTGTATTTGGTTGGCGCGGTCGGAGTCCGCGCCTTTAGGGGGGGGGTACTGTCACGCCCTGGCTCTGGGGACTCTAGTATGTTGAGCCAGGGTGTGAGTTTTCATTTGTTTATGTTCTAGTTGTTGTATATCTATGTTGGCCAGGGTGGCTCCCAATCAGAGACGGCTGTAGCTCGTTGTCTCTGATTGGGAGTCATACTTAGGTAGCCGTTAGGCATTCATTATTTGTGGAGTTAGTCACATGCATGTTAGGTTGCTCAACTGGTCTGACTGGCAACACTGAAGAAATATGAATCTGAAAAGATGGAAGGCTGTCTTATTATGACTTGACACGCATGAAGTCATCTTCTCAGTGGTGTAGCTTGCTAGACTACATTTTCAACAACAACAACAAACTAAAATATGTTCTAGACTAGCCCCTATAAATTGGTTTGATTTGGTTTGATTTGTGGTCCTCTGTAGCTCAATTGGTAGAGCATGGCGCTTGTAACGCCAGGGTAGTGGGTTCGATCCCCGGGACCACCTATACGTAAAAATGTATGCACACATGACTGTAAGTCGCTTTGGATAAAAGCGTCTGCTAAATGGCATATTATATTATTTTATTATTATTTGAAAACACATTGGTAAAGATATTTGCACAACACTTAAGAGCAGATAAATGTAGAAACAGTTACACCTACAGTGAGGGAAAAAAGTATTTGATCCCCTGCTGATTTTGTACGTTTGCCCACTGACAAAGAAATCATCAGTCTATAATTTGAATGGTAGGTTTATTTGAACAGTGAGAGACAGAATAACAAAAAAAAAATCCAGAAAAACGCATGTCAAAAATGTTATAAATTGATTTGCATTTTAATGAGGGAAATAGGTATTTTACCCCCTCTCAATCAGAAAGATTTCTGGCTCCCAGGTGTCTTTTATACAGGTAACGAGCTGAGATTAGGAGCACACTCTTAAAGGGAGTGCTCCTAATCTCAGCTTGTTACCTGTATAAAAGACACCTGTCCACAGAAGCAATCAATCAATCAGATTCCAAACTCTCCACCATGGCCAAGACTAAAGAGCTCTCCAAGGATGTCAGGGACAAGATTGTAGACCTACACAAGGCTGGAATGGGCTACAAGGCCATCGCCAAGCAGCCCGGTGAGAAGGTGACAACAGTTGGTGCGATTATTCGCAAATGGAAGAAACACAAAATAACTGTCAATCTCCCTCGGCCTGGGGCTCCATGCAAGATCTCACCTCGTGGAGTTGCAATGATCATGAGAACGGTGAGGAATCAGCCCAGAACTACACGGGAGGATCTTGTCAATGATCTCAAGGCAGCTGGGACCATAGTCACCAAGAAAACAATTGGTAACACACTAAGCCGTGAAGGACTGAAATCCTGCAGCGCCCGCAAGGTCACCCTGCTCAAGAAAGCACATATACATGTCCGTCTGAAGTTTGCCAATGAACATCTGAATGATTCAGTGGAGAACTGGGTGAAAGTGTTGTGGTCAGATGAGACCAAAATGGAGCTCTTTGGCATCAACTCAACTCGCCGTGTTTGGAGGAGGAGGAATGCTGCCTTTTACCCTAAGAACACCATCCCCACCGTCAAACATGGAGGTGGAAACATTATGCTTTGGGGGTGTTTTTCTGCTAAGGGGACAGGACAACTTCACCGCATCAAAGGGACGATGGACGGAGCCATGTACCGTCAAATCTTGGGTGAGAACCTCCTTCCCTCAGCCAGGGCATTGAAAATGGGTCGTGGATGGGTATTCCAGCATGACAATGACCCAAAACACACGGCCAATGCAACAAAGGAGTGGCTCAAGAATAAGCACATTAAGGTCCTGGAGTGGTCTAGCCAGTCTCCAGACCTTCATCCCATAGAAAATCTGTTGAGGGAGCTAAAGGTTCGAGTTGCGAAACGTCAGCCTCGAAACCTTAATGACTTGGAGGAGATCTGCAAAGAGGAGTGGGACAAAATCCCTCCTGAGATGTGTGCAAACCTGGTGGCCAACTACAAGAAACGTCTGACCTCTGTGATTGCCAACAAGGGTTTTGCCACCAGGTACTAAGTCATGTTTTGCAGAGGGGTCAAATACTTATTTCCCTCATTAAAATGCAAATCAATTTATAAAATTTTTGACATGCGTTTTTCTGGATTTGTTTGTTGTTATTCTGTCTCTCACTGTTCAAATAAACCTACCATTAAAATTATAGACTGATGATTTCTTTGTCAGTCGGCAAACGCACAGAATCAGCAGGGGATCAAATACTTTTTTCCCTCACTGTAAATGTCCTTAAATTCTAGCCAACATGAATGCAATACTTTACTTCCATGTGACACAGATAGCCAACGGTGTGGGAAGTCAGATGTGCTTACCTTAAAGACAGAGATACCAGGTACACAGTCGAGAGACCAGTGATCTAAATAAAGGAAAAAATTCAAATAAATTCAAAAGTGTGTTAAAATAGCCTACTATATAAAACAGACTGACCCTGGGCCTATAGCTCCATTGCAGTTCTGTATGGTTTAGGATATACACATCAATTTACTTGCACTAATCAGTGAAAAAATATTTCTTACCTGGTCGTTACTTAAAGTTCCATTCAAAGGATCCATAGTGAATGAGCTGCACAATTACCACCTAGGCAAAGTTATTCAAAGCGCACCTGTCCTTAGCCTGAAATTAAGAAAGCGTTATCCATGTGGTCCACTGCCAAAAATATATGATCATTTCCATAAATCTGAGTGGGTTATTAACAGACGGCCCCGCCCATGGCACATAGACATCTGCACCTTGGACCTGTCTGTCACGTGTCCACTTACCTGCACAATGAAAGGCATGGGACACGTGTAGGAATGTCCCCTCGGAAATGCCGTGCATGTCTTTCTTTTGCCTGTCAATGAACCACGACTCATACAGGTTTGGACATTTTTAGAAAAGGCCAGAGAAGGAAATGCATCCTTGCATAACCTGGAGATTCCAGAATATGGGGCCATAGAGTTATTTATTTTTGGGACACACAAATACAGTGGAGAAATACTAAAATGCAGTAAAAACATTGTTTACTCTAAATACCTGGTTAACACGTTTCTCTGTGATAGTAGGCTATGATAGTAGGCTAGCTGCCCTAGGTATATGTTGCACCCTCTGTAACCACTGTGATTATTATTTGACCATGCTGGTCATCTATGAATATTTGAACATCTTGAACGATCTGGCCTTAATGGCCATGTACTCTTATAATCTCCACCAGCACAGCAAGAAGAGGACTGGCCACCCCTCAGAGCCTGGTTCCTCTCTAGGTTTCTTCCTAGGTTCCTGCCTTTCTAGGGAGTTTTTCCTAGCCACTGTGCTTCCACATCTGCATTGCTTGCTCTTGTTTTAGGCTGGGTATCTGTATAAGCACTTTGTGACAACTGCTGATGTAAAAAGGGCTCTATAAAATATATGTGATTGATTGATTAGGGCAGCACACTCCTAATAACACAGAAGTCTCAAGTTTTGCTCATCAATTGCACAGAACATTCTCAGTTAGTCAGGTGTGCTCTACATCTGTTGTGTGTGTGTGTGTGTGTGTGTGTGTGTGTGTTCGCGTAGTCCATGCGTGTTTATATTTCAAACAATAGCCATAATGTGTGACATTGGTCACTGCCCGTTGCAGAAACAAACACATGACATACCTCACACTTCAGAATTTAATGACATGCATGATGAGGAGGATGAAAAAATGTATGCTACCCTCTGAAGTTAAATTGTGCTGTCAGATGCTATGATGCGCTGAGAAATACCAAAGATTACTTACAGTTGAAGTCGGAAGTTTACATACACTTAGGTTGGAGTCATTAAAACTCGTTTTTCAACCACTACACAAATGTATTGTTAACAAACTATACATTTACATTACATTTTAGTCATTTAGCAGACGCTCTTATCCAGAGCGACTTACAGGAGCAATTAGGGTTAAGTGCCTTGCTCAAGGGCACATTTACGTCATTTAGCAGACGCTATTATCCAGAGCGACTCACAAATTGGTGCATTCACCCTATAGCCAGTGGGATAACCACTTTACAATTTTTTTTTGGGGGGGGGGGGGGGGGGGGGGGGGGTAGAAGGATTACTTTATCCTATCCCAGGTATTCCTTAAAGAGGTGGGGTTTCAAATGTCTCCGGAAGGTGGTGAGTGACTCTGCTGTCCTGGCGTCGTGAGGGAGCTTGTTCCACCATTGGGGTGCCAGAGCAGCGAACAGTTTTGACTGGGCTGAGCGGGAACTATGCTTCCGCAGAGGAAGGGGAGCCAGCAGGCCAGAGGTGGATGAACGCAATGCCCTCGTTTGGGTGTAGGGACTGATCAGAGCCCGAAGGTACAGAGGTGCCGTTCCCCTCACTGCTCCATAGGCAAGCACCATGGTCTTGTAACGGATGCGAGCTTCAACTGGAAGCCAGTGTAGTGTGCGGAGGAGGGGGGTGACGTTAGAGAACTTGGGAAGGTTGAACACCAGACGGGCTGCGGCATTCTGGATGAGTTGTAGGGGTTAAATGGCACAGGCAGGGAGGCCAGCCAACAGCGAGTTGCAGTAATCCAGACGGGAGATGACAAGTGCCTGGATTAGGACCTGTGCCGCTTCCTGTGTAAGGCAGGGTCGTACTCTCCGAATGTTGTAGAGCATGAACCTGCAGGAGCGGGTCACCGCCTTGATGTTAGCGGAGAACGACAGGGTGTTGTCCAGGGTCACGCCAAGGCTCTTCGCACTCTGGGAGGAGGACACAACGGAGTTGTCAACCGTGATGGCGAGATCATGGAACGGGCAGTCCTTCCCCGGGAGGAAGAGCAGCTCCGTCTTGCCAGGGTTCAGCTTGAGGTGGTGATCCGTCATCCATACTGATATGTCTGCCAGACATGCAGAGATGCGATTCGCCACCTGGTTATCAGAAGGGGGAAAGGAGAAGATTAGTTGTGTATCGTCAGCGTAGCAATGATAGGAGAGGCCATGTGAGGATATGACAGAGCCAAGTGACTTGGTGTATAGGGAGAAAAGGAGAGGGCCTAGAACTGAGCCCTGGGGGACACCAGTGGTGAGAGCACGTGGTGCGGAGACAGCTTCTCGCCACGCCACTTGGTAGGAGCGACCGGTCAGGTAGGACGCAATCCAGGAGTGAGCCGCGCCGGAGATGCCCAGCTCGGAGAGGGTGGAGAGGAGGATCTGATGGTTCACAGTATCAAAGGCAGCAGACAGGTCTAGAAGGACAAGAGCAGAGGAGAGAGAGTTAGCTTTAGCAGTGCGGAGAGCCTCCGTGACACAGAGAAGAGCAGTCTCAGTTGAATGACCAGTCCTGAAACCAGACTGGTTTGGATCAAGAAGGTCATTCTGAGAGAGATAGCAAGAGAGTTGGCTAAAGACGGCACGCTCAATAGTTTTGGAAAGAAAAGAAAGAAGGGATACTGGTCTGTAGTTGTTGACATCAGTGGGATCGAGTGTTGGTTTTTTGAGAAGGGGAGCAACTCTCGCTCTCTTGAAGACGGAAGGGACATGGCCAGCGGTCAAGGATGAGTTGATCAGCGAGGTGAGGTAGGGGAGAAGGTCACCGGAGATGGTCTGGAGAAGAGAGGAGGGGATGGGGTCAAGCGGGCAGGTTGTTGGGCGGCCTGCAGTCACAAGTCGCAGGATTTTATCTGGAGAGAGAGGGGAGAAAGAAGTCAAAGCATAGGGTAGGGCAGTGTGAGTAGGACCAGCAGTGTCATTAGACTTAACAAACGAGGATCGGATGTCGTCAACCTTCTTTTCAAAGTGGTTGACGAAGTCATCCACAGAGAGAGAGGGGGGGGGGGGGGGGGGGGGGGGGATTCAGGAGGGAGGAAAATGTGTCAAAGAGCTTCCTAGGGTTAGAGGCAGATGCTTGGAATTTAGAGTGGTAGAAAGTGGCCTTTGCAGCAGAAACAGATGAAGAAAATGTAGAGAGGAGGGAGTGAAAAGATGCCAGGTCGGCAGGGAGTTTAGTTTTCTTCCATTTCCGCTCCGCTGCCCGGAGCTCTGTTCTGTGAGCTCGCAATGAGTCATCAAGCCACGGAGCTGGAGGGGAGGACCGAGCCGGCCGGGAGGATAGGGGACACAGAGAGTCAAAGGATGCAGAAAGGGAGGAGAGGAGGGTTGAGGAGGCAGAATCAGGAGATTGGAAGGATTGAGCAGAGGGAAGAGATGATAGGATGGAAGAGGAGAGAGTAGTGGGAGAGAGAGAGCGAAGGTTGCGGCGGCGCATTACCATCTGTGTAGGGGCAGAGTGAGTAGTGTTGGAGGAGAGCGAGAGAGAAAAGGAAACAAAGTAGTGGTCGGAGACATGGAGGGGAGTTGCAGTGAGATTAGTAGAAGAGCAGCATCTAGTAAAGATGAGGTCAAGCGTATTGCCTGCCTTGTGAGTAGGGGGGGACGGTGAGAGGGTGAGGTCAAAAGAGGAGAGGAGTGGAAAGAAGGAGGCAGAGAGAAATGAGTCAAATGTGGACATAGGGAGGTTGAAATCCCCCAAAACTGTGAGGGGTGAGCCATCCTCAGGAAAGGAACTTATCAAGGCGTCAAGCTCATTGATGAACTCTCCAAGGGAACCTGGAGGGCGATAGATGACAAGGATATTAAGCTTAAATGGGCTAGTGACTGTGACAGCATGGAATTCAAATGAGGAGATAGACAGGTGGGTTAGGGGAAAAATTGAGAATGTCCACTTGGGAGAGATGAGGATTCCTGTGCCACCACCCCTCTGACCAGATGCTCTCGGGGTATGCGAGAACACATGGTCAGACGAGGAGAGAGCAGTAGGAGTAGCAGTGTTTTCAGTCGTAATCCATGTTTCCGTCAGCGCCAGGAAGTCGAGGGACTGGAGGTTAGCATAGGCGGGGATGAAGTCAGCTTTGTTGGCAGCAGAACGGCAGTTCCAGAGGCTGCCTGAGACCTGGAACTCCAGGTGTGGGGTGCGTGCAGGGACCACCAGGTTAGAGAGGCAGCAGCCACGCGGTGTGAGGCGTTTGTGTAGCCTGTGCAGAGAGGAGAGAACAGGGATAGGCAGAGGCATAGTTGACAGGCTGTAGCAAATGGCTACAATAATGCAGAGGAGATCGGAATGAAATGAACTAAACATCTGGGAGAGGAGAGAGCAGGGCCTCCCTCACCAAAACTTCCACCTCAGAAACTATAATTGTTTCACTGAACCACCCAAACAAAAACTCTCCCAACTTCCACCTTTAGAAATCAGAATTGTTGTGAACCACAGCGGTCCAATGTTTAAAGGAATAGACTCAACCCACTTTATTCAGCTAGCTAACTATGACACCATAGCTAACTAGCATGCTAGCATCCAATAACACACAGTTTAGCACCAACACTTGGTCACAACAAACCACCAATAGTGTGTTAACACACTAAGCAGATAA